TATAGCCTGTCACGACGTTGATAGCTGCGTATATACGAATGTGAATCGCATCATTGGCTGGACTGTGGGATAAGGTGGCATCGTTCTAATCCCATACGGGAGCAGCCAGTCACTGACTAACACTGCAAAACAGAATTGTTAAGTATTTATTTTAATTTCAATTCAGGTTAGATTTTTTTTTTTGTGCGCAACGCAGATTTTCTGTGCGCAGAGACGTGCCAGCAGTGCGCAATTGCGCACGCGCGCAGCTTAGAGGGAACATTGGACATGACTGCTGTTTTCGTCCTTTTTAATGCTCTGCAGACTTTTACTGCAGCAGCTTTAAGTTGCTTTTTGTTTGTGGGGCTTTCTGTCCGAAGTTTAGTCTTCAATAAGTGAAATGCTCAGATAGGTTAAGATCAGCTGACTGGCTTGGCCATTCAAGAATATTCCACTTCTTTGCTTTAATAAACTCCTGGGTTGCTTTGGCTGTATGTTTTGGGTCATTGTCCATCTGTATTGTGAAATCAGTTTGACTGCGTGTAGCTGAAAATGAGTAGACAGTATGTCCCTGACACCTCAGAGTTCATTTTGCTGCTTCTGTCCTGTCACATCATCAATAAATACTAGTGTTCCAGTGCCACTGGCAGCCATGCATACCCAAGCTATCACACACTTCTGCGCTTCGCTGTGCTATGAGGTCCAGTCAATAGCCTTGTCTTGTTCTAACTGCTTAAATCACTCTATCACCTTCTTCCTGAAAGACCATCTCTGAATCGAGGAGGAGGCCTAAGGGTACATCTTTCGCCATCTTACAATGCTGTGATTGCAGCCATTCCCCAACTCTCTGTGAATGGTACTCATGGCCATTGATCAGTGGTCTTTGATCAGTGGGTTTTGGTCAGTGGTTGTTGATCAATGGTCATGAGAATTTGCATAATTAAGATTAAGGAACTGACCTCCCAGCCCATTGTTCCTTCAGTGGGCTGGTTTCAGTCATTATGCAAATGTACTGTTTATAAGATTGGGGAAACCTGCAGTCAGCTGAGACTGAAGAAGTCACTTGGATGAGTGACAAACTTTCTCCCACAAAACGCTACGTCCAGATGAACAGAATCAACTTTTGGAGATCACCAAAGATGTGACTCCCTGCACGCCAGCAAAACCAAGAAGGGTTCTTGTGCTGAAATCTATGTTTGTCTTGATTTGTGGCGCTCCCACAATGCATTGAGGCGTTACGTCAACTCCAAAGCCCTATCCGGTCTTTAAGTCTGACGTCACTAGCCGTGTCTGGGTCTAAACTCCGCTGCAGGTCCATATATCAAACGATCACTATGGCATTACTGAGAGTTGAAAAACTGTCTAAAGTCTTTCATCTTTAATAAAATGATCAGCGTTCTGCTCTACCAGGTGTAACAATTGAGTTTAACATCCAGGCATCCATGAAAACGGAATTTATGACATTTAACGGAGTTAGAAGTTAGCAGGGAGTTAGCTCGCTAGCTTCTATCTAAATACAATATAGCATGTCCTGAGTTCAATTCAATTCAATTTTATTTATATAGCGCCAAATCACAACAAAAGTCGCCTCAAGGCGCTTCATAGATACAGAGAAAAACCCAACAATCATATGACCCCCTATGAGCAAGCACTTTGGCAACAGTGGGAAGGAAAAACTCCCTTTTACAGGAAGAAACCAGGCTCAGGGAGGGGCAGCCATCTGCTGTGACCGTTTGGGGTGAGATGGGGGTTTTGGAAACAAATTAAAACGTACAGCTCTGTTATCACTTCCAGCATAAATGAAGACAGAAAACTAAACAGCAGTGACGTTTGTAGGGTTACTGAAGTTGGGCTAGCTGGTATATAATGATGTGCTACGTGACCGCTAGCGACACAGCTATGTTAGCATAATATAAACAAGCTAACTTTTTTTCCACTCGATAAAAGTTAACGTGAGTGTTCTCGGTGGTCAGGAACAAATGTAATCGCATGGCAGGATGCTGTAAAAGGACCAAACTTCAGCCAGGAGAACAACTGAGATAATCCATCCACAATACGAGGTTAGTCATTCATATACTGCTGCATGGGCTGGGCTGTAGTTACATCCTAAGGTTTTAAAAACTGAGCTTAAATAAATGATTAGCGGTAATAAAAGCCGAGGGAGGTCAACAGTGATCACTGACTGTTTTAGGAGCTTTTTGAGATTAAATAGAAGAAAATACAAAACATTAAACATGTTAACAACACAAAAGCCATATTAAACGCAGACTACTTTAGCCCGGAAGTAGGATTCGTCACGTCATCACTTAAGTTAGCTCACATCTTAGTGTCCACACAGATAGTGCCACCTCTGATCATTACAGTTATCTCAGCTAAAGTTTGAATTGCAGGAAGAAGAAGAAGCTGGAAATGAACCAAAGGAATTTATCTCTTCCCACTGGGGACCCTCAACATTCTTTCCTTGCTGATGTGAAGATCCTATCTGGACCATTTTTAACTCTCAGCGGTGCCCGAGTGTTTTTTTGCTTTCAGTAACTGAAGGAGCATTTAGACCTCCAAATACTTAACAGCTTTAGGTGAAAACAAGGAACTACTCTAAAACTACAACTCCTGAATTTAAGCTCATTAGAGCAAAATTCATTTGTAAAACTAGTCATTGGGTTTTATCTGTGAGCAGAAACCGCTCACTGGCATATTTTAAGTGTCTATCTGTGAGACAGGTCAGTCCACGGGTGTTACTATATAAATGTTTTGTTAATGTTTTCAGGAAAGAAGTTAAATTGTATAGAAGTCTTGGAAAAAAAGGGCTTAGTAAAGACTTTCCTGAGGAGTTAATGGTTCCAGTGACTTGTTTATGGCTCTTATTGACTCTAATGGGGCAATCAGAGCACGCTCAGTGGGCCATGAGCTGTCAATGAAAAGTTGCTAGAGAATAAGAGAAAAGTTAATATGGCGGTGATGAAGACATTTTGAGGTCTCATAAATAGGACTCCACAAGCCAATCAGTGATGTTACAGTGGGTATGTCCATCTTTGTATACAGTCAGTGTGAGATCATATCAGGTCCAAACATCCTCTCAGGATGCCCCAGGTTCCATTTATGTTCATAAAACTTAAATTCTTTTGTTCAATCAGTAATAAATATTCCTGCATGACGTTTTATCACTGTTTATAAATCCCTTCTTAAATTTTTACCTTAATAGATTTTAGATAAAGAGTCTGCAGGTTCAGACGTTCCCAGCAGTTAAGGTTGGAGTGTGACAGATGACGACAGATAAGTGGAGGAGTCCCGGCTCCTGTCAGTCTGAGGATACAGATGTTAGCAAGAACCAGAAACCTAAAATTACAGCTTAACAGTGTGCAGTCAGAGGTGATCAATAACAGGAAACAGACAGCTCAAGAATCGTCCAACCTGCCAAACACAACCAGAAGAAAACCACATTCAGCTGCTCTAGAAATGAAGCAAAGAAAGAAATTAGATTCACTGCCTTCAAAGCACCGCTGATGCCAAACTAAACAGAACATTTGAAATGGCATATCTGAGAAAGTCACATGTTGTTTGAGGAAAAACTTTTTTTTTAATCTGGCGACTTTCTCAGTTAATCCAGAGACTTCCTGTCAGTACTTGTACTTGTACTTTTCATTTTTTAATTATTCCTTCTTCTCTCTGCGGGGAACATGAAGAGGTAAGTGTTCTTCATTCAACATACATGTTATTTCTGACTCTATTTCTGACTTCCGTGCCGTCCGTGTGGACTTTCAGTGAAACTGCTGAAATATATTTAAGTTAAACTTTCTATATGTGTTCAATTTCCTTAATTTTAATCAGTCATGTGACTGCTGGACTGCAGGTCTGAGGGTAGAAATTTAAAGGTCTTACTGAGATTTCATGCTTCATACTTTCAGACTTCAAGTAAACCCCCGCGTATCCTGTCCTTACTCTAAGAGTGCTTTTAGGGCGAGGTGGGACATTTTATGGTCCTTTTGTCTTGATCTGTTTGGAACCAGAAGTAGGAATAATGGGCGGAGAGGGTGGAGGGCAGAGTTATCAGCTGATTCCAGCTGCATTCATGCACTGCATTGGAGCATCAAACTACTCTGTCACACCCTCTGCCATGTGATTGGTCAGAAGATGTCATCAAAATACTCCAATTCCAACAGCATAAACGTGGTCCAGAAGTCCAGTCCAGGGACTCCCGTTAGCTAGCAGACAGCTATCAGCTACAGCCGCTTGTGTCGCCACCTACCTGTCAATACCAGAGGCCACGCCCCTAATAATGCAGACTTTAAATTTTAGAGCAATGTAAACATTTGTGGGAGTCTCTGCTGCCTCTGCTGGACTTTGGAGGAACTGCACCTTTTGTGTTATTTTTTTATTTAGGTTTTTAGTCCTGAAGAGAAGAAATCCCCCCCCCCCCCCCCCCACACACACGGCTTTTTTCACAGACTGTCTTAACACAGAAGGAGGGTTCAAACTCTACTACTCTCCTCGCTCCTGTTGTCTCCTCCTATTCTCAGTGAGTTGGAGGTGTGTTGGCAGCTTGAGTGGAACAGAAAGTCGGAGCTGCAGCGAAGTGAGAGCAGCAGAGAAACGAGCTACACAGTGAGTCTGAGTGTTTTTCTCTGTGGGAGGTTTCAGGCTTTTAGTGGGACAGCTGGGACTGTGTGTGTGTGTACGCGAGTGTGTGTGTGTGTGTGTGTGTGTGTGTGTGTGTGTGCATGTGTGTGTGTGTGCGTGTGTGTGTGTGTGTGTGTGTGTGTGTGTGTGTGTGTGTGTGTGTGTGTGTGTGTGTGTGTGCGTGTGTGTGTGTGTGACAGCTCAGCCGTCGCGTTGCAGGAGTGTAACTTGACGTTGCTTCAGACAGAGAAAAGCTGGCTGCAGACTCTTTGTGCTGTTAGTTGGAATAAAGAAATTCGAGCTTGGAGCTGGATTTTTAAGCTGTTTGGTGTGTGACACGGCCTTTACAGTCATGGCGAGCACAAGGAGCTAAACATGGTCAGAGACCAGCATAATGAGCTCCGCAGCCAGGCTCAGTCAGAGGTTTCACAGAGTTCCAATAGCACTAATATTATATTAACAGAAATCATAAAATGTGTTTAAATATTAATTGAAATCTTGATTATAAAGTTAACAATGATGTCATGACCTGCATGGCATTAGTTATTCCCAGGTTTAGTTTGCTCGTTCTTCAGGGACGTGGTGACGATGTGAGGAGCCTGTACACAGAGCCATGAGTGGGCCTGATTGTGTGATAAGCTATCAGTATCCTGGTTACTCATTATCCCATGCTGCTTGTTTCCAAACACTGTGCTTGCTGTCAAACATTTAATCTACTGAAAAAAAGAACTTGTCTTTGACCCGACTTGTAGGACATCTGCTGTAAATCGTTTCCTGAAACCTTCAAGGATTTTTCTTCTTTCAGTAGTCCAACAAAAACCAACCAATCCCATTTTAGCAGGCTTTGGTTGGAGAGGCACCAGGGAAACCACCAGCAATCTTCAGATCGAGCATGTTCACGAACAGTGATGAGGAAACCTGGCAACATGGAAGACCTGAAAAACTGGCCAAAGGAAAATGTTTCCTTCATTACAAACATTCAGATTATTCCAACCATCAGGAATCTCACCTCACTCCGTGAAGTCTGTGTGGAGGCAGAGGGTGGAGGTGGTGGTCATCGGTTTTATCTTCAAACATGAAGGTCGTCTGTTTGTGGCTCTGACAGATAAAATCTGTCACAGAATCGGTTGACGTCTAAGATAAGAAGCTACTTCCTGTCTTCTCCACCTCCTTCTACCACAATTTCTCTGTTTCCTGTTGTTGTTGTCTTTGTATTTCAGCCTGATTATGGAAATACGTCACACAGCACAAATCAAATCAAACACATTCTTGTGAATTTTGTTCACATTCAGTTCTGTTTTAGGGGAAAAAAACTCTTTCAAAGAAAAAAAAAGCTTTGACCTTCTTGGTAAACATCAACATTTGTCTTCTGGTCCTTTGACCTTCACAATAAAAGCCTCCAACCAGACTCCTCTTCGCCATGATGGCTGTGCCAACATCAGTCAGTCCACCGTACTGGTCCAGGATGAAGTGATGACTTCTTCACAGACATTCATGGTGCCCAGAGGGTGAATGCCAATGTGCCGTCAACTGGTGAATGCAGTTCCTCTGCTTGAAGCGTCCTACGAAACACTGACAGTTTAAGAGCTAGTTGGACAGAAGCCAATGGGAAAACAGCCTTTTCAGGTCATTTTTAATAAAAAATGAAGTTAATTTTGCAAATTCATATTTGTCAACATGAAGAAATATCCAAAGTATGCACTCTGGCTACTAACTGAGCCAATAAGCATTCAGTGCTGATGGTAGTGAAAACACTCCGACCAAAGCTTTTATCATTCTTCTTTAAAAATGCTGCAGAAGGTTCAAACAGCGCAAACACATCCAGAGGTCCAGTGCAGGTGAAGCTAGCAGCTACAGCAACCTGTGTCACCATCCACCTGTCCGTCGCAGAGGTGCTGACCTGGCTGCTCTGTGACGCCGTGTCAAATCACCCTCAGAACGATCAACGTTTTTCTCAGCAGCTCTATATCCAAACACTCACACGCCCTGTGTGTGTATGTGAGGACCAAAATCTGCATTCTGCTATACTTGTGCGAACCAACAGTCACTTGTGAGGACACACAACCCAGTCCTCACAAATTTGAAGCCTTTAAATGCCTTCAAATTTGTGGTTTTAGTGTCAGGGTTACAATTAGGTTATGATTAGGTTTAGGGTCAGGGGCTAGGAAAAGCATTAGGTCAATGAAGGTCCTCACTAAGATAGCTGAACGGGGTTGTGTGTGTGTGTGTGTGTAGGTGTGTTTGTGTGTTTTTGTGTGTGTGTGCACTCAGTACTTCTAGAAGGTAGTGTTTGCTCAGCATGAGTGTGTCGGGCTGTTTGTGCTGGACTTTCTGCTGAATAAAAGCAATGAATGGCAGGTTCACCCATGTTTGTGGTTCACAGGGTCACTCTTCAGTCTCCGTGTGAGTCAACAGCCTCAACATGACCTCTGATCCCAGAAGCCTACGAGCTCCTGCTCGATCCAGGAGTCTCTTCAACAGCATCAAGGTTTGTCTGCAGCGCCACAGCAAAGATAGGATGGAAGGAAAGAAGGAAGGGACTGAGGGAGAAAGGAAGGGAATACAACAAAGGAAAGAAAGAAAAGATGAGTTGAAGGAAATTTGTAACATTTATTGTTTATTTCAAACTTAGAGCTGAAAAAGTGGGAGTGGTGCTCGGGCCTGTCCAGGCTCGTATGAGGCCTGCTGGGTAAAAACGGTGGACTGTAAACGGTTAAAGGCCGATGTTGTGTCAGACAGATGTTCCAGTGGTTAAGGCTTGTCTCTAACAGCTTGTCCCACAAAGATCTGATTTCAGTGTTTAACCCTGGAGAACCCCTGGGGTCAAATTTGACCTGGTTTCTCCAGGGTTAAAGTGATGAAGAAAAGCGCTCAGCTGGGTTCGTTAGTCTGCTCTCCCAGAGTGTCTGGAAAAACAAATGAAACACAATGACTTGATCACAGGATCACATGGCGCTGTAGCAATGCCTGTGACAGTAAAATCAGAAGTGGGCAAGGTCAGAGGTCAGATCCCTTCAGGCAGCGGAGAGATTTAAAAGCTGGCCTCAGACGCTCGCCTGTCTAAACACTGGAACCTGTGGGACTGAAACTTCACATCCTGAGCTTCATCCTGGAATTGTTCTCCAGTCACATGATCCCAGGACGAGCTCAGGGCAAAGAAAAATACTGTTTCTTGTCTGTACCTTTCACGTTGTGCTGAAATTGAGCCAGAAACAGACTGTTCAGTATGCACGATGGATGTAACCACCCTCAGGTTACTTCCGCACTGTGGTTGGAGCTACAAGTTACCACCTATAGATTCTCAAATGCTAATGTTAGCAGGTTTGGTAACTAGTGTGAAGTAAAGATAAATAAAATGTCAGAATTTAAGTCGGCAAAGTTGGACTTCGGAGGTTTTAACACAGCCTGTCAGTCTGTTTGCCAGTTTGTTGAGTCGTGTGGACGTAAGGGGAACTGCAGCTTGTGTTAAAATACGTTTTCTGACTTTCTGTCTTCTTCTTCTTCTGCTTGCAGTTCTTTGTGTTTTGCCACAGTTTGCTGCAGCTGGCCCAGCTTTTGGTGTCGGGCTACATGAAGAGCTCCATCTCCACCATCGAGAGGCGCTATGGCCTATCCAGCCAGAAGTCTGGGCTCCTGGCCTCCTTCAACGAGGTCAGTTCAGCTAGGACTCTGAACTCCTGCTTAATGAATTCATGGCTCTTCAGAAAGTCACAAGTTTGTTTTTGGTTTGAGAATACAGTCCAGTATACGATACAAGATGGCGATAAATGAATAATAATCGGAACGAGGTCTAAGCTTTATGTTTGAGATGTTTTAGTTGTCCTTTTGATGAAAACAAACAAAAACCTCAATATGAACCTGAAGGTGACAGGATTGGAAATCTTTGATGTTAGTCTTACATTACGGATGTTGTGTGTCTGCGTACAGGTGGGAAACACCATCCTCATCATCTTTGTGAGCTTCTTTGGGAGTCGAGTCCATCGGCCACGGTACATCGGTGCTGGAGCTCTGCTCGCTTGCCTGGCCTCTCTGCTGATGGGGGTAACGCACTTCATGAGTGAACCGTACCACTACACGAAGAGAATCATCGGTGAGAACACACACACGCACACAAACACACGCACACATCGAACCTCCTGAGTTTTTTGAATGTTCTTTATTTTGTGGAGTAAGTTATCAACTGTCCCTGGTTTACATACTTCCTGGTTAACTGGAACTCAGCCTTCTCTGACGCTCTGTTACCACAGTAACCTTACAGCAGTTATATTATTGGTCAGATTATTAATGCTCCAACAGCACAAACACAGTTCACAGGTCCAGTTAAGGGACGTTAATTAGCTGATGTGCCAGTATATTAGAAAGAGATTGAGTTCCGACTGAATCTTCTCCCTTTCAGTTTTATTTGCAGAGAATGAAATCTGTGTGTTGAATTCAGACAATCTTAAAAGTATCTCTCTGTTTTCCAAACAGCCTCCAATGAAAAAAGTGCCAACCTCTGCCAATCAGAAAGCTCAGTCACCACCTCATCCTACAATCAGACCTGCCTGAAACAGGAGACCCCTGCCCAGCAGGGGATCTACCCCATGCTGCTCCTGGGTCAGCTGCTGTTGGGCGTCGGAGCTGTCCCCATCCAGCCCTTTGGCATCTCCTACATCGACGACTACGCAAGCAAAAGGAATTCCCCGCTCTACCTCGGTAGGAAGCAGAGAATGATATTTTAACTCGCAATTTGGTCCCGATGTCACGTTCTGGGAGATTAAGTAGTTTAGAGGTTCAATACACCTGAGATGAAGACGTCAAGAAGTCTCTTGAGGGGGTTTCCTCAAAGTGAAGTCCCACGTCCATCAGTGTCTCAGTGTCTCATCAGTGTTAGTCCACTGCATTTAACCAACTGTTGCTGATTAGTTTGAAGATTCTTTATTTGTCACATACATACTTATACAAGTACAACATGCAGTGAAATGTATCCTGACACACTCCCCGACTGTGCAAAAGGGGAGAGAAGAACATTATACACATTGACTACTGCATTTTATGAATGTTTCTCACGTTTTGAGCCTCTGAGCACAGAAAATAACATTTTCTATGACTTAACATCTGTACCAGATATTTTCCACTAAGGAGTATCCTCCATCTATGAGCTTATACTTTCTGAAGTGTTCAAAAACTTTTTACTTTCAAAGAATTCATAGCTGACAAACTTGAAACTGTTGTTGAAGTACGGATGACTGCAATCTAAGACACAGCTCATATACCAACACGGGTCATAACTGATTGCTGAAATTTGATCTCACAGAATATCTTGATTGGCTGGTCTGGATGAACACTCTGATAAACATAATTCCCGCCGAACTGCCAACTGTGATGCAGATCAGGAGGAAAATATTTAAACTCTCTAATTGGCTGGAGTGTTGAGTCTTTGATCCAAAGAAAAAGGGTCCAAACGCACTTCCAGCTTCAAACCATTGTTGGGTTGAATGTTTGAGGCGGAGACAGGACACGGAAAGAATCAGAAGACTTTCCCCAATCGCTGAAACAGATTTCTGGTCTCTGTGGTGGACTTTTTTTTTGAAGAAAGAAAATGAACAATAGAGAAGTTTCCTCTAATTCAAAGACAAAGCCAGAATGACCCAAAGAGACACAACAGTTATTGCTCTTCAGCATGACTGCATTTCTTTTACCACCCACTGTTATATCATAGCTGTGTAACAAATACCTTTGTTCCTCATAACTATCAGGCAAACATTGGCAAGAGTTGTATTTAACAGACTGAAAGCAGATCACTTGAGGCCATGAAAGATTTTCTGCTCAGGTCAACTCACATTACAGAACTTTAACTGGGCGTTATAAAAATATGAGAAGGCGATAACAGCAGAGACCGAGGTCATCAAAGTCCAAGAAGCTCACCTGACCTGTTACAGAACACAGTCACTGTGACAACAGACGTGATTGTAGTGCTGCATTGTAGTTACATTAGCCTGCGGCGTCTCTGCTTATACAACAAACCTGTTTTAATTAGGATCCTGGGACCTGCAGGCAGGAAGTCTTTAATAATGACGTGAAATTTCTTCACTATAGCTCCATTGTTGTCCTAATTTCAGCACAAATGCTGCCCTTGCTGCATATTTTGTAGACACGGTGTGATTTCTTCTCCTTTTGCTTTTGTTTTCTGTCACGCTGGTGTAAGGAAAGCTGGGCATGCTCAGATGTTAAAACCTTTTCTTTAAATGTGAGATTGCTTCATACAACAAATTTGCTGTTTTATCTCATTTTCAAGTTTGTTGAGGCCTCTGAGTGTAAGAAGAACTGCAGGACAGCGACACAGCAGCCACATGCAGCTCTTTGTAACACCTCACAGACCTCGCCACTGCTTCTTGTTCCATATGTATAATGTTTACTGTTGTAACCTCATAATGAATCTGTCTATGTGATGGTGAGGAGGTAGGAAATGTTTGGTTAGCAGAATCTTTTTTGTGTTTGACGGAGGCGCCTGAAAAAAGCAGGTAAAGTATTCCAAAGTGATGTTTGAGGTGAAAGGTCAGGGTCAACCCGTTGGCCAGCAGGCGTCTCTTTCATCTTCTCAGGGGGTTTTTTATCGTGTCTTCCAGGCATCCTCCTTGCTATGACCTCAATTGGCCCGGCCTTCGGATTCATCACTGGGGCCCTCATGCTACGCTTCTATGTTGACTTTGACAAGGTACCCAAAGGTGAGGAGACACACTGTCCTAATGCTATACAGCTGTTTAAAGAAAGTTTATCTTACTCATTTTTAAAAGGAAAGGAGGACTTCCTGCATGTGAGCACTCAACATGGTGTTAATAAAAACAGTGTAAAGCTGACTAATGTGGGTCATTTCCTCTAAAATCTTCTACAAAAGATAAAAACCCATAAAATAAATCATATTTAAATGATGCAGTTTGGCAAACAGTGGCTGAGGTCTTCACTGGTGGTGTGAAGTTCTTTAAGACAGCCATGTTCTCGTGACCATCAAGCCGCAGACAGGTTTTGTAACAGATACACACCCTAATGACCTGTTTTTGTGTATTTGCTAACTGGAAACGCTGCAGCAGCGCTCAGTCCTCGGGCTGTTTATGCCGTGCCAACATTTCTACAAAAGGGTGGCGGTTTAAAAACAAGTGTTCTAGTTTATCCTGTTTTACTCATGAGAAAGCAATGCTGAAACAAAGAATGATATCTAGAGATTAATATTTGGGTTCAGCACACCGGGAGATTGTCAGTGTTTGCACACTTTATGCAGTTACTGCTGTGGAGATACTGAACCCGACTCTGCTGGAGGCATTGGTCTCTTGGAACAATACATTGTTATGTTTTTAACTTATATAACGAAGCATCATCATTACTGTCGATATTTGGTGCAAATAATAGAAATAAACTGAACTCAAAACTCTGACATCCAACAAATGATCAAGCTGTGAAGCCTTTCGTGAATGAGCATTTCTCATGTTTCGGCGGATTTCCTGCTGCCTCTTCTTTCTTCACACTCAGCCAGACGTAATTGAAGGTGTAAGCTGGTATTTTGTAGCTGACGTAGTAGATTATTTGCTGTTGAAAGTTTCAGCCTTAGGGCAGATATCCAGATTAGAAATATGTTCAGACAAGGATCTGAGGTGTTTTCAGTGAAACTATTATATTTATTTCATTAAATACTCCACAGTCAGCTCTTTGAACTAGTCATACTAATTATCAGTCACCGGCCCCACTCCTGCTAACCAACTGTGTTTTACTTGCATCTGTTTGAAAGAGTGTAAACACAAAACATTATTTTATTTTATCTGCTAGAATATGCAGAAAATAGTTTTAAATGTTAAAAACATTTCTTCAAGTCAAAGATTGTTATATATGATTTGATTTTTGCTTGATGCATAAAGTTAAAAGATTAAAACTCATAAAACAAGTTTTAAAAACAAACATTTTCATTTGATTCAATGTTATATGATGGATTATGCAGAAACAATAAAATTGAGCTGGGAGGTCTATCACTTTAATACATATTCAGGGTTCACATATCCTAACCCTAACCCATGTTTTTAAAAAGTAACTAAGTAAAAAAGCAACTAATTACTTTTGAAAACTAGTAATGAGAAAAGAAACAGGATTACTTTATGTTTGTGACATTGCATTTCCAAGCTTCTTGCTTTAACGTGTGATCCTAACCTTAAGTGGCTAGCTGGTAATGTGCTGGATGCTAACAGGCTAACTCCCACCATTTCTGGGATCAATAGTTCTGCTACATCTGCTCATATTTCAGGTTTCGTTTCTGATCTAAGTTGAGTGAGAGTTTCGTGACATTCAATCAGGCATTGCAGTCGTTTGACGTCTGCATGATTAATGATGTTACAGTCTCTTTACAGACTTGTTGAAACAATAACTTGCTTGTTTCAACATTCCCAGTGGAATGCGTACATGGGCCAACAGATTGTGAAAGTGAATGTGCATCACACAACATGTTTAACAATTTGCATGTTTAGAAAAAATGTAAAATGTTGTATCAATTCTGTGTTTGTAAGTAAAAACATACAGAGGAGAATGTGTGCGAGTGTGTATATCTTATTTTATTTTGTGGGGACCAGGGACAGGATGGGACGTGGAAAATTGAGGGCGCTTTTCTTTTGCTTCATGAATGTATGTTTGAGGTTTAATTTGTGGTGCTAAGGTTGGAGAGTTATGTTTAAGTTTAATTTCCTTGAAAAAAAAAAACAGCACACAAGCAAATTGAAGCTGTCACCTCATAATCTGTATTAGGGATTGACACACTTAAATGTGTCACTGGTGGTGGTTGGTGGGCTAGTAAATGAAAAGCTTTTTTTGATGTGGTTTGATTTGTAACACAGTTGGCATGTAGGTTTATTGGCTTACACTGAGCCTTCAGGCAACTTAGCGCTGAGTAAGCACTAAATATGTTCAGAGGAGAGTTTAAGGACAAATATGTTCAATGAAACAATATTAAAAAAAACATTTACTGCACAAACTAAAAATTGTCCCTGTTTTTCTATAAAGTTTTGTCAATAAAACACCAAAATCACCAATTATAGATTTTAACCAGCAGTCATGTGCTTCATTAGCAATAAGTATTTTTATCAGCTTAAAAGCTCAACTTTAAATGCGTTTAGGCAGTTTTGATGATACATTCCTCCTTTTTCTTTCACTCATTTAGGATCACAGGAGATGTAATAAATAGATATGAATTTAAGGAACCAACAGATTTTTCTGATAACTAAAGTATTTTAACTTTTAATGTTTATCCATCCTTTCTTCTTTAGTTTTACAAAGAGTCAGCTACGCTGTGAAATATCTGGGAAGGTTTTCCAATAATAACAGCTGGATTGACAGTGAGGACAGTAATTGGACAATAGATTAAAATTTGTAAAGCATTGTTTTTGTTTTGGAAACAAAAACATTTGTCTTTGTTTTTCTACAATTAATGGATTTTATTTTGGAATTCTTCTCTTGGTTGCTGTTGCATAAGAGCTGTCACACTCACCTTATTTGAAACCTTCACCACTGGAACCAGTGCTAATGTCAGAGAATAGATAAAAGCAGAGCAGTCTTAACATGACAGTAACTGCACACTGAGCAGTGTAATGAGGTTAATATAGTAAACAGGTAAAGCAGGTTAAGGTGTCCATTGCAAGATTTTTGGAATGGTGTTGTTGTCAGAGCAGGACCAAGAGAGTTACTCATTCCTGATCTTCAGTAATTACAGCCTTGCAAAGTTCCCACAGAGTTTTTCAATGATCAGGTTCCACTGGGATTAGCCTTCATTGTTTGGCGATTCAAACATGAATGTCACTAAAATCTGCAGAGGTTGTTCATCGTCATGGGTGCAGCCACAAACAGATAGGTAGAACCATTTTCATTGGTGTCCCTCGATAAGCAAACGCCATAACTGGTTTAGTAAATCAAGGAAAACAAGTGAACATTTTTAGATGGGCAGTGACGTTTGTTTCAGATTGGCAGCATGTCATTGGTGTACAGTTAAATTAGTGGGAAGTTGTGTTTACACACTACAGGTTGTGTCTTGATATCTATAAATTTTAGGATGTAGACACAATTACAGCGTCCATTTTTTTTCTTTAGTGTGCATTTTGAAACCTCCAATTATACATTTGGCTGATGTTATGTTGGCTGCTGGTTTATATTTGGATAAAAAGTTTAATTCTAGGACTGTTAAGTTCTTCTTGCACCTGCAGACTGCACAAATGCACAGATCCCCTCTAGTAACAAAGAAAAAAATACTAAGTTCTAAAACTGGTGCTGAGACTTCTGGGATGGTCTGTTAGTACACTTAAATGCAGAGCAGCCATATAATTAAAAATGCTCCAAAAGGGTCCAAAAGCACAAACATGAGCCAGAGGTTGACGTGAAGGAATCCAATTAGCTGAGGTGAAGCTGACCAGGCAGCTAGCATCTAAATTTTCATCAGATTTTGCTTAGAACGTTCACACAGTACTGAATGTCAAGTTACACACGGTGAAAACACTAGAACCAGGGACCTGTAGGTTCTTGCAAGATCGAGTTATGGGAAGCTCACTTTTACCAAGCAAAAGAAAGTCGTTTGTGTTTCATCCAGAACAACCTCTGACAGGGAAGAAGATTTCAGCTTGTACTGTAAAAGCATTCAGTTTTAGTTCTTTGTTAGGAATGACTCCATGACCAACCCTAACTATAAATAACAGCAATGGCTGTCCAAACATGGAACTCCACCAGCGTAAGCTTCATCTGACTTCTGTTTTTTGTGTAAATGACACATCTTTCAAACAAAGGAGGTATGATGACTTGTTGTTATACCATAAAGCGCACAGTATGTGTACAGTAGGTTTTTCCCTTAACTGGCTCAGTAAGTTATTTGGGGGGCAGTTGTTTCACCATTTAGGTCCAAGTATGCGTTTAAATTATCGACTGTATATTACAAATGTGAAGAACAAGTTATAAGTCAAACCTGCAGACGTATTTCTATCAGAAGATTCATGAATTTAAGCAAATTCAGTCTTTGTATACATGTTTTATTATTACTTTAGGCAGAACTACTGGAGTCAAAAGATTACTTCCACCTGGTTGTATTTCACAACAGAGCAGGCATCACTGAGAACTAATATCACATGATTACTTTGGAGGTATAATGAAAAGGGGGAGCTGCAGTGGAGGTGGGTTGCAAATTGGTTTGGAGTTTAAAGGTTAAAGCAGTGTAAATATTACACCCTATATAAGAATTTTTGGATATGAACTTGGATGAATGATAGGCTTATGGGCTGGCAGTGAATTAACCCTATGTTACATGTATTGATAATTTATTGGCTGATATAAGGCAATAAACAGCTGCAAATAAAATGAAAAAAAGAGTCGTATTCTTCGCATGTGGCAACACAGTGGTGCAGTGGTTAGTTCTGTTGCCTAACAGCAAGTTTGACTCACCATCTGGCCTCTCTGTGTTAAGTTTGCGTGGGTTCTCTCCGGGTACTCCTGCTTCCTCCCACAGTCCAAAGACATGCATGTAGTGGGGTTAGGTTAATTGATTATTCTAAATTGCCCATAGGCATGAATGTTAGTGCGAATGGTTATCTGTCTCTCTGTGTTAGCCCTGCGACAGACTGGCGACCTTTCCAGGCTTTACCTCGCCTCTTGGCCCCCCTGACCCTGATAAGTGGAAGACAATGGATGGATGAATTCTTTGTATGGATTTCATGATTTGTGTTCTCTTCTGTTTCCAGAGGAGATCGAGTTGGACACTAAAGACCTGCGCTGGGTGGGAGCATGGTGGCTTGGCTTCCTGGTAGCCTCGTGCCTCCTCTTTCTCACTGCACTACCTTACCTCTTCTTCCCCAGAAACATGCCCAAAGAGGTGAGTCAGTCCTATCTAATACAGAAGAGGTGTTGTTGGTGTAATTGAACTTACATGTAGAGAAAATGTTCATGGACATAGTCAGCATCCGTTATGGGCCTTAATATCCCAGATCACGTTATTTGTAACATTTAATCCAGCACCACTCAAGGGCTAATGCTTGAAGCACATCAGATGCATTGACTTTGTTTTTCTTTACACACCTATAATTGCCTCGCCCTAGCTTAGTGATTAATCCAGACAGATCCAAGATATGCGCATGTGTAGCAGGTGTAACTGAAGATAATTACAGGGGGCTCACAGTGACTCATGTTCTCTGACAGGTTGATGAACTCTATTCTAGGGAAGAAAAACAGTTGAGTAGAGCATAAATAGCAAAATTGTAAAACTTGTACATTTGTTCCACCAACAAAATAGATATCAATCTGATTAATCATTAATACACCTGACAGGTCTTTCATAGAACTTTTCTGCTGGAGAGTGGCTTTTCAAGTAAACATTTTATTAAATATTTCATAATGTTTTATCTGTAGTTAATATCGGATTGCATTTATACAGAGCTTTTCTAGGCACCCAAAGCGCTTTACAATTCTACTATTCATTCACACACTAGTGCAAGCAAACCACAGTTGTAACCACAGCTGCCCTGTGACTGACAGAAGCGAGGCTGTCATATCGCACCATCGGCCCCTCTGGCCAACACCAGTAGGCGGTAGATGGAGTGTCTTGCCCAAGGACAAAACGACCAGGACAGAGAGAGCTGGGGGATCAAACCGGCAACCTTCTGGTTACAGATGAGCTTCCCAACCCCCTGAACCACGGTCGCCCCAGTTGTCTGTGGCTTTCCATCTTTTGCCAGCTATACACCAGTAGCTAATCTTTCTATTGGTACTTAAATGCACTGTTCTTTATCTTCTATTTTGGTTATTTTGCCAGCTCCTCCCTATATACTTGAATTTTTTTGAATTATGTTTCATGATGAGTGGTATTCAGCTTCTAGGTGTGGCAAAGCTATGTTTGGCAGCCTGACATGTGGTACCAGGTCACAGATTTAAATAGCCAGACTGGCTTCCGGCCCTCACCTCGAGTCATGACTGAAAGACCAATGTAGTGAATAAAACCAACCAAAATAGGTTTATTTCTCAGGTGGGCTGGGCTTAGCTTCAAAGCTTGGTGAGGAGTTCGAAGATGGTAAATGGCCTATATTTGTATAGCGCTTTATTAGTCCCTAAGGACCCCAAAGCGCTTTACACATCCAGTCATCCACACATTCACACACTGGTGATGGCAGCTACATTGTAGCCACAGCCGCCCTGGGGCGCACTGACAGAGGCGAGCTGCCGGACACTGGCGCCACCGGGCCCTCTGACCACCACCAGTAGGCAACGGGTGAAGTGTCTTGCCCAAGGACACAACGACCGAGAGCCCAAGCCGGGGCTCAACCGGCAACCTTCCGATTACAAGGCGAACTTCCAACTCTTGAGCCACGATCGGCCAAACATTTGGAATCACTGCTTAGCTGTGACTGACTTTTAACAAGAAGACAATGAATGGATCTTTAAAGACCTTTTATAATTGCTTTTTTTCCAGTGGGAAAGTTTTAAAACTTTTATTTTACGATAGTTTATCAGACCACCCGAGAGCTGCTATTGTTATCTAAATGATGAATATGAATTTTAGTTTAAATAATCTGCACAGATGTGGGATGAAGTTTTCTACACAGGGATAGAGGAGGAGATCTGTCTTCTCTCCTCACAGCAAACACAAGCACCACTGAAGGAAGGAGTGAAGGTTGATAATCAAAACTAGGAAATGAAATAGCTTATAGCCAATATATCACAGTACTTTTCATCAATTCAAGAAGCCCTTTGTGGTTTCTTCGCTCAAACATCTTAATGGCAGCAGCCAAAATCAAGTGATTATCTTAATTATCTCGATACGATAATGATCAACTGAAGCCGACCTGCAATCCAAAGAGGTTTTAATGGTCGTCATTATAGGGAGTAAGTATGTATGTATGTGTGTGTGTGTGTGTGTGTGTGTGTGGGGGTGGGCGTGGCTGCGGTACTTTGTTTGTTTGTTTGTCAGAAACTGCATGAGGTAAATGAGTCGTTTAGTTAAAAATATCTGTAATTGCAATGCAGCAAAATACAGCTGTCACTAACTAAAGAAAGCAAAAAGCTCACAATGCTGTTATTATGTTTTATGATAGAGAAACTTTCTGCTTCTAAACCACAGGAACACAAAATGACAGGATAAGATGAGGCTTTGTTGGTGAAGCTGAACTTATTTCACTTCAACCAGTGCAAACGTGAAACTGCTTTTGTGTGTTTTGGCTCAGTCCCAACACAAAAGAGAAAGTTCAGCTTCTGCACATGTTTTATCAATTAAATGAGACAAACTATCCAATTGCCCAACAGAGTTTCTTGGAATAAGACTCCCTGAGCATGCTGCCAAACATCAGTGCTCGACCAAATGTTTGCCTGAAAGCCTCCCAGCCACATTTTTTAGCCTGTTTTCATTCCATCAGGTCAGAGGTATTTGCTGAGATCTACCATCTGAAATGTTAGCTCTAACCGTTCAGGGTTGGACTCATTAAAAGTGAGTGTCTGAGTGGACAAAAATAGAGCCATGTCATTTGAGATCTGGCTACGTTGATGTGAATGGATTTCAAACCGTAAGTTATCTAATGTTGGATGGTTTCTTTTGTTTTGCTTTGTTTTTGTTGATGGGGAAAAGGACTTTTTTCCATTTGGCAGTTTAGACTCAGAGGGGATCTGTGGTTTATCCGAAGCTAAAAGACTGGTCTTTTGAAATTTGAGCAATTTAGTTAGAGTGAAGTCATTTCACAAATAAGGTAAAGAGGGGAAAATGCAGTCAACAAGAAATCATGTGAATTTCATAAGAAACAGAAACAAAATCAAGCCTTGAAGATTGATCCAACCAGGTTTTGCTGATGACTGTCGAACTCTGCCTGTATGAAGCTGGTGAAAAAAATGATTGATTCATTGTTATTGCTGCACACAGTGCTAATGCTGTACTCTCAGAGCTGTGAGAAAAAAGGAAAAAAGGAAAGCAGACTAGTCAGTCAGGGAAAAGAAGGGATCTGGACAGTTCCAGTCCAGGATGTTTTGGTAGAAAGATACATGATGAATTAAAAATAACTTTTTGGGCTAAATTCTGAGATTTTAATTATTTCAATTATTGAATTAAAAATCTTTTCTTAGCTGTTGAAAGTTGATCTACTGACAAACTGCCTGTCTGTAGAAAGGCAAAGGCAGCTGAACTGATATGTCAGGAGTTCATCCAACTGCAGGAAAATCAAACAGATCAAGCTGGTTCGAGATGACCTGGGCTGTCCAAGAATGCAGAACAAAGCAAAATATCTAACAAATTGAAACAAAATCTGTATGTTTTATATATAGAGACATTAAATTTCAGTCCATTAGAAAAATACACCCAACAGTACTGTACATTTCCTGCTGCTCATGCTACCTAAACCTTACATAGAAGTGGTCAGGCAAGAGACTCTTCTGAGATAGCAAATCAAATCACTCTAAAACTGAAGATGTAATAACTGTGTTAATGTCAGCAGGGTGTTTTATGAAAACTTCAAGTTGATGCCTTGGAAGTTTTCAACTGTTAGACTTGCAACACATAATATTTAAAAAGACCTCCTGGACCTTCCTTAGAACAGTTGCATAAGTAGCCACTAAAGACGAACTAACAAAGTCCACATGCTGCAGGAATGAGGGTAAAAGATTACTGTCTATAGATTAAAGCAGGGATCTGTCCATCAGATCCAAGGTAAGAACCATAAACCAGCCAGAACAGACCAATCAGAATAGATTTGACTATACAGCAGGAAACTTTTCTATCTTCACAGCTGCTTTAAGTAAATTTTCATTTTTAGACGTCACACTGCGCACTGCTGCATCCTAATCTTGTCCCCACATAAGAAAGCATTTTTTAACCTTTAAAGGGTTAGATGATGAAACTTATTTCCGTTTTGTGATGGAGTCTTTCTCACATATCTCATTGTTTAATTATGTTATTGTTAATGAAACGTAACTCTCTGTAGCACAACTCTGACTAGATTTTAAACTGAAAGTATTTCCGTGCTTAAATAAAACCTTTGCACTTAGTGGACATCCGTGAGCTCTGTGAGATAAATCACTGTTGAGCAACAGTCTGGAACAGACTCGGTCATTTGTTTGAAAAGCTGCAGCAGTGAAAGGCTTTTGTGACGACTCCATGAACTGAACCAGGTTTCTCTGCTGAGTTTGGTGAAGAATTACTGACTAAACTGGCCAATAATTACTCACATGTATCAAATGTATGTATATATGTATATATATATATATATATACTGTATATATATTGTGTGTGTGTTATGGCCTACTATCTTCACCTCATTACTTAGCTGGAGGGAGCTGGAAGCTCAGCCCTGACCCAGATATTTTGGACAGTATCCAGTTTGGATCCTTCCCGCCCACACAAAGACATTTGTGAAGTTGAGAAGAGTATTTAAGCTTTCCGATTTTATCCAAACAAGGTTTTTGGTGGATAAAACATTTTGTAGCAAATTTGTGTGGCAAAAAGACTCGCAACAGTTTTTCTTTCTTACCTGTGCAGCATGTGCTTCACAGACTGCACAGCTGCACTTTCACTTCTTGTTTTTGAACAGTGTGCTATGCTCAGCACTGTGCAGGAATAAACACATGCAATGATAATACTGCTGCTAATCTGACTACTTGAACATTAACACACCCATGAGTCATTGTGCTCTCTGACACAAAACCGTCTGCAGTCTAACAGACTGGAGGGGAACAACTAACTACTAAATCACACTGGTCCAGGTTTAGGGTCCGTCACATTGTAAAATGACCACCACAGGGTCAATAAATAGTATCAGTCACAGCTGGTTAGGCAGTAATGGTACATTTTCAAAGTACACATCACCCTACTGTTGCTCCACTATCCAGTCCTGGCCTGTGGTTACAGTGGGAATGTAGATTTATCTCAAGGTTCAAACGCCTTCTTTATCTGGCAACGGGGTAAAATAGTCTCCATTCCAAAAACCATTCTTCAAATAATCTTGGCATTTGTCAAGATTTTAGATTAAATAATTCATGCCTGCGAGTAACTCGCATTTCCCAGGAACCAGCCAGGAAACATTTATCCAAAGCCTCAGACAGATTCATGAATGTAAACTTCCATTTACTGGTTTCACATCTCACAGTGGAAAAACAAGGCTGCCATGTGATATTCTTTCCATATTTGTGCAGGAAGATCCAGAAGACATTGACCCCGAACCAGAAAGTAAGGAGCAGCAGCAGCAGACAGACACACGACAGGAACCTACCCTCATTCAGTTCCTCAAAAGTAAGAGTCCTTTTTCCACTTCTGTTTCCTGTCCAGCTGAGGTGACTGAAGGGTGTCAACCAATTTAAAAGAGGTCAACATCAGCAAGGGCTACTTCATCCAGCTGCTTCATCCAGCATTTTATGCTCTTTAGTCTATGTACCTATTAGTCTAAATGCTATTTTTTGTCCATTAGAAACTTAGTAATGCATATTAATCCTCAGTCATACTGTACACCTCCCTCAGGTTTTCCTAAAATCGCTCTGCGAACGCTGCGAAATCCCATCTACCTGCTGGTGGTTCTGGCTCTGGTGAACTTGTCAGCTCTGCTGTCCGGCCTCGCCACCTTTATGGCCAAGTTCATTGAGAAACAGTTCAGCCAGAGTGCCTCTTTCTCCACCATGATGATAGGTGAGAGGACCTGAATAGTGCCATGAAAGTCGTTACAACGGAATCAAGCTGTGGACATAAAAATGAAGCTTCTGTTTTCTGAATTATTGATTTCTCGCAGGAGGAGTCGGGATCCCAATGGCGGTACTGGGGACCGTCCTGGGTGGAGCTCTGATGCGACGGTTCAATCTTTCAGTCAATGGCGCCAGCAAATTGTGCACAATAGCCATCCTTCTCTGCATTCTGACTGCCCTACCAATGCTGTTCCTCGGCTGTCCCACACAGAACATTGCTGGGGTCTCTAACAACAGGTACTTGTCCCGTTACCATGTAAATCCATGATTTATATTTTTTATTGTATATTCAGAACAAATTCACCTTAACAGGGAACTAAGTGTACCATAGATGGCAAACAAATGTTCTCACTTGTTTATTATAATATCACAAACTCGTGAAAACTCGAACTAATAAAACAAAATTACTGATTAAATAAAACAACAAGTTGCCCACTGTTAGGGAACTAATGTCAGGGAAATGTACTATAGTGCAAAACTTATTTCACTCCTGACTGTGAGGTTGTTTTACCAGCAATGGCAGAAACTAATTTGATTTGATTTTGATTTGATTTGATATACCTTTATTAGTCCCACAAGGGGAAATTTCATAAGGCTGCCGACCTATTGCACACAATGGCGGCGCCATCTTACCCTCCGACCACACATACATTACACAAAACATCACATGGGGAAGACAGGTCAGAGAGGTCTAACAATGGAAAATGCACCATATGAGGAAAGATAAGGAGAAAAAAATAACTCCCCCCAGACTGAGCTCCAACAGGGAGATCAGTTTGAGAACAGAAAAAAACACCTCTGCACATGAAAAACTCTTAATACACCAAAGAAACACATGACAAGCAACAGGGGGGGTAAAGGGTGAGAGACAGCTGAATTAGACAGCACATCCGGGCCTGCGTGCGCTGGTCTCCTTGATCCACCGTCAGCATCGGAAGGGAATAAGCGTCGAAGGCGTTTGGAAAGGGAGGGGGGATGAGTGTATGCATATCAGTGTATGTGTGTGGGCGTGTCCATAGTTCAGCTGAGACAGTGTCCTTCACCCTGCCAGGCTAAGTAAACAGTCTTCCAGCCAACCCAGGTGGGCTTGCATGGAATGGGAAGAACAGACTAAACACAGTCGTTATCAGGGAGTTGTTGTTCAGCTCCAGCCTTGAGCCCACAGCTGGCGCCGAGAGGGTCTCCGCATGAAGTGATGGTGCTTTTTACTTTAGTGCGAACAACTCATATGAATTTCAAAGCAGTTCTACAGTCCAACACTGGTCTCTCAATCTCCCGTTGGAGAGCCGTGAGCTTCTCCATGATGTTATCAAACTTACGTTCCGTGATGTTGTCGTTCTTTTTGCTCAAAGAGCAGGTTCTGAGAACTCACGACCGCAGTGCACTTCCCCAAGATGTGATCGAATTTGCGCTCAAAGGTGTTGTTCGAGCGAGCCCCTCCAGATGTAATCCAGTTTTTCACTCAGTGGTCTTGTTCTGAGTGTTCACAGCAGCCGTAGCCTCTCCAAGATCTTATCCGTGCTGACTCAATGAGCCCATTTTGAGAAACTCACGCCTCGTCCCATCGTTCCAATCCCAGCGGGCAGCCTTGTGGGGATTTGAACAGCCGGTTCCGCTTCCTTAATTCTTCGATAAGTCAGGGCCAAGCCAGCTCCGATCAGCAAGAACCCTGTTATCATGGTTCCGAATAGGTAGATATCTTCAGCACTCAGGCTCACCCAAGCCCAGACTTCTTGTTGACAAGGGGTGTCAATTGCATTCAGAGACCAGTTGATCAAATCCATAATTCCTCTTTTAGGTTTTAGAGAACAGACTGTGAGAGAGTGTTCCAGAGAAAAGTAAAAACACAAGACAAGACAAGGACATAAGAAGCTAAGCAGGGAAGATAAGGGAGAGGAGAAAAGTGCGACCGCCTTCGTCAAGAGCAAGAGCAGAAACCCCATACGCTTATTTATATAGTTTCAGGGAAAGGATACCACTGATCAACCATCGGTTAAATGGTTCATTTGACCACTGGTGGCAACCAATTTTACCTTTGGCACCAGTTTACTTCACTGCTGTAACTGCTACAGTGCAAAAGGCGTGATTTACAGGTTCCTTTCTTTTGTTGGTGATGAGACCTTTGTGTAACTGATACTTAGTAAAGCCTTTGACATCTCATTTTGATAAAAATCCAGATGAACTTGATAAAATGATTCAGAATATATGTTAATAATACTTATTGTAGGCATCTACAGCTTCTTTATTCACCTTTAAAATGTTAATAAAAATGTGTGTTCGTATTTTCAGCTATGATTTGTTGCAGTGCAGTTCTAACTGTCACTGTTCTGAGGAGGCGTTTAACCCGGTCTGTGGTTCAGACGGCATGGAGTTCAGGTCTCCTTGCCATGCTGGCTGTCAATCTGTAGAAACAGACAACTTCAGCAAAGTCGTGGTAAGACTCAGTTAATCATCTTTCCAGAAATTTTTTCCTGTGAACCGATCTGTTATCTCACATTGTGACTAAGGCTCAGCTCTATTTGCTATTCAAATTTAAATTCAAGTGGTGTGTAGTCACAAGGAACTGGCATGCTTTCTGTGGTGGTTTGCTGCCAGTTCCCATTTCATTTGTTTGTGCTCTTAGGAAATCAGTGACATCACATTCCTTGAGAATATGAGGCATTGAGACGTGGAGGCGGCAGAAACATTTCGTTTTCTCTATCAGTCTTAGATATACGCTGGCTTTATTTCAGACTCTTACACACACACCATCATCTTGTTGATATTTGTGTAGCCTGAACATTCTGTGGAAAAGGCCCTGAAACAAAACAGACCACAATAAACTGCACTGAGAAGCAAATTTAGCTGCCAGTTTATCATCATTATTATTTCATTTGTATCCTTGAGTTTTAATAGCTTACAGCTGTTCCAAGGTGGTCTCACTATTACAGATGTTAAGCTTAAATTCAGTGTGTGCTGCCAGAAAGGATTAGGGGCCCACTCGGGGTGGTATCTTTAGGAGTGTCATGTGTTTGTGTCACTGCGATGGTATGAGTGGCCCACTTTTCATTTTACCAGTCTGTCTGTGGATTTACCTATGAAAGTGAAAGTAAAAATACTGGTTTTAAAGAATCTAAATTGGGACCTTGAGTAATTGGCCAGATGTGCAAGAAATTCTACATCCAGATGTTGCAGAACTCTCCCAAACCTCTCCCACTGTAGGAACATTTTTTTGTAGGTTTGACGGACCCTAATGGTCTAACAACCGTTGACTTCCCATGATTTTGTGAACTCAGTTATTCACTGACAGAATGAATCAATTTCTAATCCAAGCACCGTTTCTGACTTTATGATGAAACTGGCACCGGCAATAGACCGACTTCATTATTTAAGAATTACTTTGTACAAGAGAGGAAATAAAATGCAAACAGGTTTACTTAAAAAAAAAAAAGCTGTACAAATAACAGATCTATTTGCATGTGCGTTTCTGTAGAAATACACTGACTGCCGGTGTGTCGGTGGTCTCAGCTTCGCCTTACCTCGGAGCTGTGGCAGTGGGTGTGAGCATCTCCTCCTACCCTTCGTGGTTCTGCTGGGTCTCACTGCCTTCATCGCCGCCTTTTCCCAGACACCATCATGCATGATGATACTCAGGTATGGAAAAGATAATATAATGTCAAATAATGGGGAATGCTTAAGTCAGAGTCTTTTCATTAGCAACAGTTTTAAGTAATTTAAAGGAAGGACACCAAAACAAAAGTTTTATGAAAAAAAAAGAAAAACTTGTAAAGCTGCCTTTCAATCCCTACAGAGTCACATGACAAATTGTTGTTGTTTTAACACAATCTTTAGCCTTTAGACAAATATTTTCCCATTCCAGTCAGGTACTACTGTCTTTTCTAAACATGTGAAGAATCTGGAGATTTCTCTGCAGATTGCCTACTCCATTAAATAACAGCTACTGGAAGCCTGTTTTTCGTTATCATGAATGTGATGTCTCTGCTGCAGGGAGGTACCTCCAGAGGATAAGTCTTTCGCAGTGGGAGTTCAGTACATGCTGTTCAGAGTACTCGGTAAGTCATCACATACGTTCTCTAGTGACACGAGGTCTGTGTTTAAACTCAAAGACCTGCCGAAGGCATTTTCTTTGATGCTTATATGCTTAGATGCAGTTTCATACACTGGTTTCTGGCAATGTTAAGAATCAGTTTTACCATCTTATTTATTTTTTATTTTTTGGAGCCAGATATGATTATATTTGCACAAGACAGCAGTGCAAAGAAACATTCAGATAAAAATCCTCAAACTTCAGCCACCAAAACTAGTGCTGAGACCTACTGGACAAGCTCTTCGTACAATTACCACAGTGGCCATTTTACTGGTCAGATAAATTAAAAATGCTCGAAACGGCTCCAACAGCACAAACATGGTCTCGGACTCCAGTTAGCCAAAGTGAAGCCAAGCAGACAGCTAACAGCTACAGCCACCTGTGTCACCATCCACCTGTCATAGAGGCTGCACTGTTTACTTTTTGACATAAATAAATCCAAATGAATGAATTATTTAAAAAATAATAATAATTTGGGGCCAAAATTATGATTTTAACTGAGTATTCATCTTGGTCTATTTACAGCATTCATGCCCGGTCCAGTGTTGTACGGCAGTGTCATCGACACCACCTGCATCTTATGGGGCAAGAAATGTGGCAAGCAGACCTCCTGTCAATACTACAACTTAGAGCGCTTCAGAAGCAGGTAAAAGGAACATTTAAAGATACTAACAAAATACAAAAAGTGGTCATTAAGTTTATTTGACTATTGAAATGAATGCAGCAATCATTCCTTCTCATAGTAGGAAAGATTAAATTGTCATTTATATAAATATTGTGATGCATTTTGTGAGACAGGCTGTAAATTCTTTTTAAAAGAGTTAAACAATTTCATAATCCTTATAAAAACAACAACAACTGAAATGAACACATTTTCTGCAGCTATAAAGGCTAAAAATTTCACTGCCAGCACAGAATCACACTTTTCTCATTCTCAGTAGAGATTTCTTGCTTTGTAAAGCACTCTGTCATCTGATTGCATCCCGGACTAGCCCCCAACCATCAAAACAACCATAAAAAAACCATAACCACCTGTTTGTGTATTCAGGTTTCTGGGACTGCAGGTGGTCTTTGTGTGTGGAGGGTTGCTCTGCTACCTGCTGACAATCGTCGTCCTGCGGAAAAGAGACAGGTATCAGGAAAGTGATTACCAGATGGTGAATCAGAAAATATCAGAGAATGGCAAAGAAAAAGAACTGATAACATGAAGTGGATTCTGAGAAAACACTTTTCACTGAAACTGCATAGGTAGCTTTTTTCTATGCTGGTTGAAAGGACACTGCCACTAAGCAGTGAATTACTCGGTGTGGTGGATGCTTCACTTATAACGGAGCAATGTGCTTGCATTATAAGGCAAAAATAATTTTTTTATCACTGTTTTGTTTATACATCATGGCTAACATTTCAGAATGGTTTTCTTGTTTTTAGATAGAACTTCTTAATGTGACTGACAGTGTATACTTATGTAAAGTTTCACTTACGATGTTTAGTTTTTGGCCATTGAGCAGTATATCAGTCCCAAACTGCGTGCCAAAACTAATAACCTGAGTAACACGGGACTCTGTTTTTCAAGATTTTTTTTTATTTGTCTTTGATGAAGTCATAAACTACATAAAAAGGTCGCCCTAACTACTGTGACGTCACCGATGACATTTTGACTATCCAACTTTAGTGTTTTGGCCTCCCCCTTGTTGGGTTTTTGTAGCCAGAAGTGAGGATGCACATAATATATGCAATCATATACTTAAGCACATCTATATATATAGGTAAATGATCAAAATATAATGTTTTCTTGCTATAGAAATTTAGTTAAAGTAACACTTGCCTGGCATGGAAATAAGGAAAAAATATCACGTTATAGGGAGACACATGAGTTGCCATTGGCAACATGTAACAATATGTTTAGCACTACACTGTGGGACACCACTGTACCAAATTCCACTCCTTCTGCATGTATAATATTTCCTGTTTTGAGATGACTTATCTAATCAAACCCATAAATCTTTACCAATATGTCAAAGAACTGTTAGTTCCAAGCAGAAATTTTCCATGTTAGCATAAGGTCAGACAGGAAGCTCATAATTTGTAGTTTTAGATATAGCAAGACTGCAGTGCGGAATGAAGATCATCTGGATTTAGTCAGCGTCCTTTCACTAAGAGAAAGAGAATGTTCATGTTAATGTTCACATTAATGTGAACATCAGTTTCCAGTTTCTTCACACATGTCACTGCTTAACAAACACTTAGCGAGTAGCTGCAGAGTGTTTGCAAACAAGTCGGCACCTTTCATAGAAATTTCATACAACCCTTGCTACTGCAACGAACGTTTTACTACAGCACACTACACCTGTTTGTGAAAAATTTCACTGACTGCTAGCAAACTCCAGCAATGAATCACAGCCAAACGGTGGTTGCCAGGCAGTTGACAAGCAGTCTTTAGGCCTGTGGGGCTGGGGTGAAGTAAGTTACTGACACCCTCAGGTGCTGCTTAAAAATACTCACATTGTAAAAGTAGACCTTTGCAGTATATGTGCACCTGCCTGATATACAAAAAATTGTCTCGCAAACACATGCTTTATTTAACCATTAAGAACACAGCCTTGGTTTAAATAGTGGCTTACAAAAAGCAAAGGCATAACAAGGAAAATTAAACACTAAAAGCACAGCAGACTTCCAAAGACATGTTAATAGACCCACTGGTAAAATGGTGCCTCTGGTGGTGGAAGGCTTAGTTACATTTTTTAGATGTAATTATCAAAAGTACCTGTACCTGTAAACTCTCTAATAATGAGCTCAGTGTACTCACAGTGATCCCTGTGACTCTAACGCCCAGGCTGTACACTGCTCTAAATACTCACTTTATTACAGTTTTTTCTACTCTTGTATCTGTGTGACATCGCCATTAGGCGATATCCCTAACATGGTCATCTCAGGCACTTAAGCTCCGCCTACCTGCTAGTCAAACTTTCTGTTTACAAGGAGCAGTTGAAGCTGTCTTAAAGGGGGAGGAGCTAAAACAGCTCAGTAAGGTGGCTGCACGACAACCGAGTATGAGACAACGAAAGTTTATTTTGAACTGTGAATCGTGCACACAATTGGAATATAGTTGTTACCTCTGACAGATCAATGCGATTGTGGTCTTAAAGATAATACATCTGCAAAAGCATCACTATAGGAACAAGTTTCAGGTGTGAAAAATGTGGTCATTATATCATTTCCTGTACATCAGTTAAATTACATCCAGCACAGATTCCTTTAAATCTCATGTTCACTTTTACTTTCACATTTAAATGTGTCAAAAGAATTCTTATTTCAACATCACACTAATGAGGAAGCCAACAGCTTTCATCACTGAATATTTTTAGTGTACCATCATTTTCACTGGAAATGAAATAAAAGAGAAACATCCCAGTGTACAGTGGATGTATTTATGCTGTGATCTTGAAGAGAGAAAGCAGCTAGGCCAGCTTGTTTCAGACAGAGGGTGGACTGAGGGCTGAACCAGAGCCCAGGATGAGGTAAATAACAATTATTGCCAACTGTGAACCATGCAATGCTACTCTAGTGGAGCTCAAGAAAAAAAATATGGAGCTATATTGAGCAGAAAAGGTTTTCTATATGGGGGAACTACAACTTTACCAGAACACTGTGACAGGATTCTGAAGTCACGAAAAGACTTCAAAGAGATTAAAGAAGGGAAACTAAAAAAGAGAGAAGGATGGCAAACAAACAGAAAGTACAAAAAGGCACCACAACACTCTTTTTATATGAAAATGTGAATTCATGAACTTAATTCTTCCGGCACAAACAGATCCCGTGGACATTTTCCGAGTTTTGATGAATTTAATCCAGCGAGATGTCTTCAGTGTTTTGTCACTTTTTTATAAACTGTTTTCTACAAGTTTGATAAAATTATATTGTGCTGAATGTTTAAGTGTTTGTATGATAACCTTTCATACTCGAAACGCTGTTCTGTAAATATTTATATCCAATTGAACAGTGAATAAAGGACACCAGCTTTATAAAAAATATATGAAATATTTAGAATAAAGTGGAGCAGTATCACTAAAGCACTAATCGAAATGTGATGGACAACATATCATAAAATATCATCAAAATTCATAATTTTTTTTGTATGTTTTTAAATAAAACTAATTGACACATTTAATGTTGAAGTGTGTTTATTGTGTTTATTTTTCCACATGTGATTTGTGCACATGTGTACATTGTTTACTGCTTTTTGTGTAAAAGATAAATTGGCAAATAAAAAGCAACTCGGTTTTTCTGAGCATTTACTTTTGATTTGTTTTTGTTTCTTCCATTTTTAAATCCACTTTAAAGTTTCAAAATTTATTGATTTTTTTGTTTTTAATGTCCTAACACCTTGGGGATTTTTTTATGTAGCTCGTTTGATAGAAATATTTGTGAATAACTGTAGTTTTCATTGTATTTTATATGTGACAGCATTGGGAGTAACAGCATAATTTCAGTAAATTAAACAGAAGATCTTGATATTAGTGCCACCTTTTATTTTTTAGATTCATAGAAAAGAAGTAAAATACCCGCACTCAGCTTCTTCCATATTAAAAAAACATGTTGAAGACATGAAGACAGTGTTATAGAGAAAAGAAAATCAAACTAAATGTGGTATCTATATGTAATGTATATATGAAAACTCGGTTTAAACATTTCACATTAATTTTTTCAGCATTTTCAGTGTTTGGATCCAGATCACTGCACCACTGATGCCACCATTAAACACAGGAGGTGATCTGAAATTCAGATTAAAACAAAAATGTCGCTCGCTCGCGCGCACACACATACTAGCAGATCTGTCAAACTGTGACCAAATTTCCTGAAGCCTAAACAGGCATTCTTTCCAACTGACAGATTTATCGAGCTCCTCATCAAGTTTTCATGAAACATTCCAGCTTTGAGGTCGGACCACCTGCACAAACAGGCAAGTTCAGGCAGAAGCTTTAAGATGTCATTGGCTGAAAGTCTGTGACAGTTGGAGCACTGATGGTGTATCTGCTGCAGGCTCAAACATGTGTGCTGCTCCTACTTCAACACACAACAGGTATGTGCAAAGGCGTAGCATGCGGTATCACACTTCAGTGCAGCAATTCACAATACAGGGTAAATATTTCACATCGAAATGTCAATAAACTCAAAGAAACATGAACACTAACTGAGACGTGAGAAATGACTAAAAACAGCTGTGAAGAAATTCAGGAAGAAAACCAAGAAAAGATACTAAAAATATACAAAAAGTCCAAAAACAACAGAGAAGAAATGCAGACTCTGCGGCATGTTTTTAAAGGTTTATCTAAAATGCCTGCAACAGTTTGGCCTGAACACAGCTGGTGAGTCACCCGACCACAGAAAAACATATAAACCTGAAAAAAAAACATTAAGAAAGAGATGCAAAGCCAGAACAACACGATACAAATTCAACAAAAGGAGATCGGAAATGGCTAAACGGGCGAAAATATCCCATAAGAGAAAAATAAGAAAAGAAACATGAATAAGCAAGAAAACCACAAAAACACAACGAGACAAAGAGCAGCAAAAAAGAAGGACAAAGTGAACAACACTGTTATCCCTTATGCAGCAAGTTTGTCAGACAAACCCAGGAGAGTCTTCTCCAAGCACAACATCACAGTGTACTTCAGATCCAGCCACACACTCAGACAAAAACTGGTTCATCCCAAAGACAAAACTCCTAAACACAAACTTAACAATGTGGTGTCTGCTGTACAGTGCAGCGAGGAATGCCCAGACGTCTGAGGAAGAAGAACCTGGACCAGGAACTGCTGCTGGCCTTCTACAGCTCCTCAGTGGAGAGCGTGCTCCTCCTGCATGGGTTTTGATACTCAGGGGCCATGACTGAGAACAGTAAGGCCGGGCAGAGGGTCATTAACACCACCTAAAAACTCAATGGCTGCCCTCTGCCACCCCTGAAGGCCATTGCCAGATCCTCCTGTCTCAGGTAAACCAGGGCCATCGCAGGTGACCCCTCGCACCTCGGCCGCCACTCGTTTGACCCGCTGCCCTCTGGACAGCACCGCAGATCAATCAGGTCCCACACTATCTGAGCCATGGTCTGAGTCACCCTCGTCACTCAGGCCACTCACACACTGACTCTGAACTCAGGTCTTTTTGCACTGCTTCCAAACACTTTGTTCTCCATTGTGTGCCTTTCTCTTGTTTTGTATGTATTCGTCTTGACTGTACATCTCTCTCCTTTTTGCAATTTATTCCTGATGTCTTTATTATTTATATTCTGCTTTTTACTCCTGCAGAGTTTGCCTGGGGCACGCATAATTGTGTTGTACATGTACAATAACAATAAAGGGCTATTCTATCCTATTCTATTCTATGATCAATGGTGGATCAACAACCATTTTAAGTGGCAACTCCCACCAGGCTTTAATATCTGGGACTCTCCACCATTTCATCTTAGAACTGAAGACGCTTCTCAGATGAAACGTCTTCAAGAAACTTAAGTTTCAGTCGCTTTCCTTTCCAAGTTCCTTAGGTTACTATGACCTGGATGCCTGAGAACCTACACAGACATACTCCTGGAAACAGGAACAATCAAAGCTCTGTGATAGCTCGCATTTCAATGTAGGGCTCTCCAGGAAGTGCAATGTGATTCATACATTCAAAGGCAAACTTGATTCAGCACCAGAAAAAAGCATGTTGAAAAAATCCATCCAAGTTTCATCTGTGTGACCAACAGTGAGCTCAAGAAAAGAAACCAAAGAAGGAGAAAAAGCCCAACAGTGAAGTCCAGGCTGTATTCATGTGTTAACAGTCTTCTGTAGTGTTTTTTTATAGCGCCGACTAACTGGTAACATCTCAACTCTTTCAAATGTAAAAACTCAAAGTCAGTCTGTGGGCCCCAGTTCTGTGTGGGAAGTATGAAAAACAAGAGGAGAACATCTCTCCTGCTTAATCTCCATGAATATCATCAGTAAAGTAGAAATCTGGTGGGCCTGGCCTGTGGGGGGTCTCGCTGCTCGTCTTATTGCTCTAGGCTTAGATGTGAAGCACAGACCAACACGTTCTCACTCCTAATGACGAGTTAGAGCACAGACGGGTCCCAGAACAGAGCCACGATGCCAAACCTAAAGAGTGACTCTTTTTTCTTTTAAACTGATGCAGCATGCTTTCATCCTCTTACATTGTAGCGCTGTACAAAAAGGAAACAGTTTTTCAGGCTAAAGGTCTGTTTCATCATGATGTTGTGACACAGAGGAGGAAGTGAGCTTTCTCCTACAGACATTGTGCTGTCAGAGCTAAAGCACCACCACAAAACTGCACCGACAGCTCCAAAAACCTCCATCTTCATCTGGGCTCTGTTGCTTTTGTAGATTTTGAGAAAGCAAATTGTAATTTGAACCACGGTTCATATCGTAGACATTCATGAAGGCTCAGCAGAACGTGCTCACCACACGCTAAAAAAAGAAATACAAACTTTTTGAACAGTGACGATTTCAAACTGCTGGATCAGCATTTTTGATTTGTGTTATGTGAACCTCCTTATATTTGTTACACAACAGGTTGTTACAGTGGGGCAAAAAAGTATTTAGTCAGCCACCGATTGTGCAAGTTCCCCCACTTAAAATGATGACAGAGGTCAGTAATTTGCACCAGAGGTACACTTCAACTGTGAGAGACAGAATGTGAAAAAAAAATCCATGAATCCACATGGTAGGATTTGTAAAGAATTTATTCGGCAGTTGATTTTTTTCTTTTGTTTTGGGGTCAAATTAAATTTGAATTTAAAATCTTAATACCTTTTTCATTTTCAGTTTGTTCATGTGAAATCTAACTTTTTTGTTTTTAAATGAAACTATTTTAAAGGCTTTTATTTTCATTTTCACTGATCGGGGACTTTGTAGCATTTTAATACTGTTTGTTTTACTTTTGGGTTCAGTATTTCTCTTTGTCTCTGTCGGATCTTTGGGTTCTTCTAATCCTGGGATGCTCTGCTACCTTCACCATGAGTACCTTTGCTTTTCCCCAGTTGTTTTGACTTTTTTCTGATTATTTATTTATATACTTAACTTGTAGTTGAGCATTCCCACTTATTGGAATAAACAGAGCCTTTTAAAGGAAGAAGGGGTCGAGACAGGAGGCACAGCTGCTTATTATAGTTTTATGCCAGTATCGGGAATGTCACAGCTGCAGCTTCCTGGTTGTAGAAAAGACAATCTACCCCTCTATCCGAACTTTTGTCCCTTAGCAATAAAAAAAGCGTGGCAGCTTTCACTCGAGTATAAACATGACCTCCAACCTCCTTCTTCAGCACATTTCCTGTCAGGTGTCGTTTCCTCCTGAATTCTTCCATGAGGTCTTTGAACCAAAGCACGAGCGACAGCTTAAATTCACAGAAAGTGACAGATGGGTTCAAAGGCTGCAAAGACTCCCAAAGACTGTTTGTCAGATGGAGAAGGACAACAAAATTCAAGCTTTCTATCATAAAAATACTTTTCAGGATATCAGGATTTACCAAAAAAAAAAACGTGTTGGATCTTCGTGTCCAACATGTTTTAACAACACAAATTAATTTCACTGCCACGTCTTTTCCCACATTATCTGATATCTATCTAGATCCCAGGTGTCAGCAGACCTGAACCCTCGCCTGCAATCAGCTTGTGGGTACATCCACCTGCCGTGTGCTTTGCCAAAGCGCCTGTTCTGTTCTCACGCTGATGTTGTAACACGTCGGCTCCCTTTGACTTCCTGAGTAAACAGTATGTAACATTAATCCGACGTCGTTCTCTGTCACAGCCTTCGTTTATGCAATCGCTTCATTCATCAGTCTCATGAAGGACTCTGGTTACTTCTGTCTTGTGCTGAATTTTTACTTTCAATTTACAGAAAATATCATTGAAAACATTAAGTTCTTTTAATTTTACATTTGGAAAAATGACAATTGAGAGTTAAATACACACAAAAGGACAGACAATCATTTCAAAATGAAGCAAACTGACAGAATAATCAGGGCTCTGCTCCAGGAAGCAGGTTCACAAACTCAAGTTTATTATATCCGAGATCGCCAAGTCAGTGTTTTTAGTTCTGTCAGAGTTAGTTTGACAATTAGCCATCATCAGAAGAGCATGACTCACCATGGCAACAGATAAGTAAAGGCCAGAA